TAAAACCCCTTCCTTCTCCAGTTGTCTTGAAAAAGCTCTTTTATTAGCTATGTGCTGCAAGTAAATTTTTGTTAGGAGTTATGGAGAATTTTGAGACTTTGAAGTGAGCTGTCTGTATCCTGGAATCCAAGAAAATACAATCTTAAAATATTTAATCAGCTTCTCAATAGATGAGTAATAGAAACCCAACTCAACTCATCATCATCCAGTTGATTCCAACTCATAGTGGCCCTGTATAGGGTTTCCCAGGTTGTAAGTCATCTTTCTTTAGAGGAATGGTTAGTAGGTTTGAACTGCCTTGAGGTTGACAGTCCAGCACTTATCATACAGCACCACAAGGAGTCCTTGTAAGAAAACAGTGGCAGGTTTTTAATATTGTGTCATTCAAATTGAAATTCCACCAAGATAAATTAGTTGCAGAAAGGAACTTTTGTGTCATAGAAGCAAAATTCATGATTGCTGACTAATAGTTGGAGGTTGTCATGAAAGCACTTTTATATTCAAAATGAGTAGGAAGGTCCCTTGCATCTAGATTATGGTCTTAACAGTATCATTCTCTACCAAAAAAGGAACAAAACTCTTTGGAGGAATGGCTGGTTGTAAGCCTGGAACTGTAATGTAGGAGAGGAGTCTGGAACATCTTATCATATCAGATTGTTGTTAGTGGTAAGCGCTGTCCAGTCATTTCCAACTCATAGCAAATAGAGTTTCCAAGGAATAGCTGGTACATTTGAACCGCCAACCTTGCGGTTCAGGGTTTTATCAAATACTACTTGGGAGTCAGCTGAAGAAGTTTTTACTAGCAAAATAGGGTATTTTGAGTTTCAGTAAGAATAGCTGCAGTGGATTAAGACGTCTAATATGTTTATATCTGTTATATCGTAATGATAATTTTAGAAAAAGTTTTTTGACCACTTGGGTAATGCTTTACTGAGTTTGGTAGCATAGTGGTTATGAGTTAGATTGCTAACCTCAAGGTCAGCAGTTCGAAACTACCAGCGTTTCCGCGGGAGAAAGATGAGGCTTTCTGTTCCCATAAAGATTTACAGCTTCGAAAACCCTATACAGGATTGCTATGGGTCGGAACCAACTCAATGGCACTTAATAACTGAATCAAGAAATTTTGAAAAGTAGTAAATAAAGGGAAAGAATCAAACAGGATAGAAAGAATGAAGGCAGGGTAAACCGACTTTTTGTATATGAATTACACCATTGAATTACCAAATAGATATGGAAGCTGTGGGGTTTGGGGACTTGTTATGCTTTGGGATGATAGATTTATATATATGTAACTATTTTTCCATTTCTTCTGAATTACTGGATCCAGGCATTTGAGCATGGTTCCTGATGGAAGAATAACACACTACCTCCTAAGAAGTAGTCTTGAAATACCAAAAAAAGTTAAACCTATATTTATTCAAGCTTCTAGATCCAACTATCAATTTTCAGGAAATACAGAATACAGAAGAGCAAGTTAAATACCATGGGTTTGTAGTCAATAATATGTAGACAATAGAAAGCTACAGGAAGTGACCTGGTTCTTTGATGAATGAATTGCAGGTGGGAAAAAATATGAAGGAGGATCTACAGAATAAAAGAAATTTAAGAAACTTATCAAATAGTGACAATGTATGGACCTTATTTGGATGTTAGTTCAAACAAAGTTTTGTTAAGTGTCATTGAGTCGGTTCCAACCCATAGCCATCCTGTATAGGTTTTTCTAGGAGACTCTGGTAAATTTGCACTACCTATGTTTTGGTTCAGATTGACTTTGCAGTCTAGCACATTACCCCATAGTGCCACACTAGGACTCCGTGGTGGAGCATACAGCTACCACCCTACACTACCAAATTCTTCAATCCAGATAGCTTTGAAACAAGACAACTCTGAGCTTCTCAGCTGTGCCTACAGGCAGGAAGTCCTCTCTCAGTCTCTGCTTTGCTGAGGCAAGTGTAGCAGCTCTATAGCTCCACTGACTGACTAGTCCCTAAAAGCACAAACGTAAAAAGTATTGAGGTATACAAGAAATTAAACCTCCTTCCTGGAAGTGCTCAGTTCTCTTGCTCCATGGATATGGCAAGCCCACTGCATCTTTTCTGAAGCTAGTCTCCTGGTTCCCGCTGGTTGTACTGCTTTCCCTGTTTCGTTGCTACTGTGCTCTGTTGTGGTTGTCACTGTTTCTCAGTTTCTCACAGAATCTCCAGTGGTACATACAGCATTCCTTCTGTGTCTAGGAGGCTCACACTCCAGGGACTCGGGTCCAAGTGATGCACTCTGTTGAAGGCTCTTGATGATATTTAGGGGGCCCCCCTCAACCTCTGTGGAATTGGTTTACATTTCTCTGTTCAAGTCAAGGCAAGGACCAATCCCCCATTGATAGTACACAGTCATTCAATTTGCTTAATACTTGACCAAACCCTCCTGTCATTAAAACTTTTTTGCGTGGTAGATATAGACAAGTCCCGCAAGGTGCATAAAATAAACCAGTTACAGGACAGACTGTGGCCCAGGCCTAACCAGTTATTTTTGGCAGTGTCATAAACAGGGCAAGAAAGACTACACACACACACATACACACACACGGGCGTCTAAGCTTGTAGAAAAATGTAATTAGAAAGATAATGTAATTTTTCCATGAACTTTTCCGCAGCTCCTCGTGTAAGAGAAAACAGTTGCACTGCAAACACCAAACCTTTTCATTGTACTATTAAAATATCCACAGGCATAACAATTTGCATTCAGATAGATACACTTTGTGCAGCATATGTATGGAGTTTGCTTGCACCTAGTCATTCTGGTGGGTGTTTGATACTTAATTATTTATTGGCTACAAGTTTTAAGAAAGTTACACTCCAAAGAACAGTGAGATTGAATTAGTTAGAAAAATAGTGTTTTGTATTTTTGTCTGAACTAGACTGGAAAATATAAGGATTTTTGTCTTTGGCTCAAAAAGTGCTTGTGATACTGATCTTCTTAAAATTCAGTTTCTATGCTGCTACGACTGTGGAAAATTGTATGGCACTTTCTCAGAAGGTTGAAAGTAGAAATACCATATGATCCAGCAATCTTTCTACTTGGTGGTATATCTTCAAGAGATAAGAGCCTTAACATAAATGAATATACACACACCCATGTTCACTGCAGCATTATTCACAATAGCAAAAAGATGGATTCAGCCTCGATGCCCATCAGAGGAATAGTTGAACAAACTTTGGTAGAATACACACAATGGAATACTATGAAATACTGAAGAATAATGATGAATCTGGAAAACACCACATAACAGAATCCTGAGAACATTATGCTGAATGAAATTAGTTGATTGTAAGGGGACTAATATTGTATGAAACTACTACTATTATAAAAATTCAAGAAAAGGTTTTCATTCTACAATAAGCTTTCTATAATAGTTACTAGGGATCGGAGGGAACAGAGGATTATTCACTGGATAGAGTGTAGAAGATGTGCTAGTAACAGGGAATGTATTTAAAAAGAAAAGGAAGGAAAAGAGAAGAAGGAATGTGCTGGAAGGGAAACAATGTGTATTTTGTCATTGTAAAAAAGCTTATATGTTCAAACATGAAGGTCAGGTTACTAAGGCACATCTTCTGTGTTGTTCTGACATGTTTAATAAGTTTTAATTTCTCTAGTAGTGAATTAGGATATTCAAAATGTTTTTGATGACTACCTTGTATAATAGAGTTTTTAAAAATTCAATTTCTAGCTAGCATTGCTTTACATATATATATATATATAAATGAAATAATAAACTAAGAATTTGCTTCTCCCTTTTTCTTTCTTTACACATTCATCCTTCCCCTTTGTAATTTTGGTTTGGAAAAACAAATAATTAAAATGGAATTAAAAAGATAAGAACAGTTCAAATTAAGTTAAACACTAGGCTTAGTAAAACTCTGATTCTAAACTGCACCTGGCTATGCTAGCTCTTTGGAGCAGTGCAGAGTATTTTACATTTTCAGGGGAAACAGCACCATCTGTTGGACACCATACAAACTACTGTAAATCTGTAAGGACCTAAATACTTAATAGGCACCCTGGTGACACATTGGTTAAGTGGTTGACTGCTAACAGAAAGGTGAGTAGTTTGAACCCAACAGGTGCTCCACAGGAGAAATATGTGGTAGTTTGTTTCTATAAATATTTGTTGTTGTTTTTGTTGTTAAGTGCCATTCAGTTGATACCGATCCATAGCGACACTGTATAGGGTTTCTGAGGAGTGGCTGGTGACTTGAACCGCTGTTCTTGTGGTTCAAAGAGACCTTGTAGTCCAGTGCATTAACCCACTGTGCCACACAGGACTCCCTGGAAACCCTTTGTTGTTGCTTTTTTCTGTCAAGTTGGTTCCAACTCATAGTAATCCCATAAAGGATTTCAGAGAATAGCTGGTGGGTTTTTGAACTGCTGTCCTTGTGGTTAGCAGTGCTATGCTTATCCTATAGTGCCACACCAGGAGTCTGGAACCCTATGTTGTTAAGTGCCATTAAGTTGGCTCCAACTAATAATGGCCCTATATGAGGTTTCTGGAAGTCCTAGTGTGGTGCTGTAGGTTAATACATCAGACTGCAAAGCCATTTGAACTGCAAGGTTGGTGGTTCAGGCTCACCAGCTACTCCATGGAAACCCTATACAGGGTTGCTATGGGTCAGAACCTACTTGATGGCACTTTACAGCAACACAACAATGAGGTTTCCAAGGCTGCAAATCTCTATGGGAGCAGAAAGCCTCATATTTCTCCTTCAGAGTGGCTGGTGGGCTCAAACCTCCAGAGGGTAGCATGTCCAGTGATTATACTATAATATCACTAGAATAAAAGTTTTGGATTACTGGAAATTGGCAGGGAAGGTAAGTGGTAAGGTGTAAGACGAGGGAGCAGAAAAGGACTAAGTTGCCACTGGATGCAAGTATTTGATTTATGTTTTACATAAAACTATTTCCCCTCTTCTAGATCAATATCTTATTTAGCTTTTCTTTTCTTGTAGCATGGCGGACACCGACCTGTTTATGGAATGTGAGGAGGAGGAGTTGGAGCCATGGCAGAAGATCAGCGATGTCATTGAAGACTCTGTAGTTGAAGATTATAATTCCATGGATAAAACTACTACAGGTAACAAAAGCTCTTTTGATCTTGTTGTGAACCTTAAATTGAACTTAATTTTTAAATTGACCTGGAGTGGCCTTTTAGATAAGGAAGTGTGTGGTGAAGAAGGACTTTTAAGAATCCAGGGCACAGAAAACCATGTACATCATTAATAAATATTTCATTATTTTAATAATACGTTTTTAAAATCCAGAGATGCCTCATGTGGCTGTGGTATTACTTTCTTCTTCATGTTCTAGCCTATAAATGCGTCAATTTCCTTATCTACAAAGCTACAAACATTTTATTTAACTCATTAAAAACATTGAGAGGTTAAATTAACCAGTGTTTATCAAACATCTAGCAGGACTCTTAACAAAGAATGTTATGAGTAAGACTGCAAAGTGGTGATGTGTATCAGTACTCATTATTATTTATGTACCCAGACAAAAAATAGGTCCCCATAGTCTTTAGTTTTTTAAGCTTGAACTTGTTGTTTTCTGTGAGATGAACAGAAATTGCTTTTGTGTTTGGACAGTGTTGTACAAATTTAGGCTTTTGCTAGCCTCTCTTTCTTAAGGTGATGTTTCCTGGTCAAATTCTAGATTGTCCTGAATTCAGAAAGTGGATGGTAGTCCCTCCAGCAAATTGTACCAGCTGCTTTCTTTGTGTTTATCTTCTCTGTGTTGAGACCTGAAGATGGCATTCATTTAGGCTGAAACAGGATCTGTGGATGGTTTACTTGGTATGGTTAATGAATACCAGTTGTGGTGATGTTAATAAACTTTTTGAGTCCTAGAGGCTTGCAAATGCTATATAAGAAAAGCATTAAATCTTGGTTCAGTGGTCCCATGATTTAACTTAACTATGGAATGTGAGACAAAGAAGGGATTGTGTCTGAATGGTGGAATTGAGGGACAGGTAGAAACAACCAGAGGAACCGTTGGATTTACTAATAAAACAGGAAACTTTGAAGAGACTCGCAAGATGGAAAGGATAGATTAGAGCAGTATCCTGTAGCTTCATCTGTCCCTGTCTCCCTAGTGACTCTGCTTCCCCTTCCCCACAGTTTCTGTGAGCCAGCAGCCAGTCTCGGCTCCATTGCCCATCGCTGCCCATGCTTCCGTTGCTGGGCACCTCTCTACATCCACCACCGTTAGTAGCAGCGGGGCACAGAACAGCGACAGTGCCAAGAAGACTCTTGTCACACTAATTGCCAACAACAGTGGTAAGTGGGATTATTGGGAAATTCTTCCTGGGCTAGAGGGATGAGAGAATAAAGATTTTAGGGACAGATGTATCTGCTAATAGTTGATAATGGTTGTTTTCTACTAGTTGGACCGTAGTAATGATTCTCTGATATGATAGTGATTCAGTAAATGATGCTGTTCCTTTTTAGTTAGTGCTGAATTGGATGCTGGTGGTTCAAGCAGCAGATTCTTCGCTCTTAGGATTTTCTAAGAGGAAAAAATGGACATCTAAAATTCCTGATTTCTTAAGAAGATATTTATTGGGGGTTTTTTTGCCTTACTAGTTTGGTAAGAATTTTCATAGAATAGCTTTGTTCTTTATTTTCTTTGGCAGTTTCATTTAGTTATTGCTTCCCTGGTGTGGAAGACAGGGTAGGGATGTTGTCTACCACAAGAATATAGTGGGAGAGTAGTTCTTGTGTATTTAGTGTATTTATTGATCAGAGAGGCTATTTCCTACTGGGTTTTACTTCATTTCTGATACCTGTTTGTACATTCTGCAGATGAATTATTAGCAATTTATGTCTCAAGACTCATAACTAGAATAGGTACCTTCATAGAATCGTTGAGGGACTTTATTTATTTTGTTTCCTTTAAAAGTAAAACAATTTATTAGTACAAAAAATTGAGTGTGCTATACATAAGCTAGAAAAAAATCAAAAGGAAGGAAGGAGCTCTGGTATGGTAGCATAGTGATTACGAATCAGGCTGCTAATCTCATGGTCAGCAGTTCAAAACTACCAGCTGTTCTGTGGGAGAAACATGAGGCTTTCTGCTCCTGTAAAGATTTACAGCCTCAAACCCTGTACAGGGTCGCTATGAGTCGGAACCGACTCCACGGCACATAACAACAACAACTATTCCCATTAAAACTTGTGAAAGTCGAAACTTATGTAAGGCGGAATCCTGTCAGAGAAGGAAAACTCAAATATTTTCCATTATAACCATTACTTTAGCTTCATAAATACTCTCTGAAAGCTGGACCTACAAGATGTGGATGGAATCAGAAAATCATTGGTATTGCAACCCGAATATGAAAAGCTGGAAATAGTTCCAAGAAGTACAAGAGTCAGAGAATGAAGGCTCAGTTTTCTACTTACTATTGCATTGTTACTATGTGTGAGTGCATACTGTGCATCACGTTTTTCCCTGAGTGTGTCTGTTGTTTATATTTTTGCCTTTTTGTTGGTTTTTCTTTTGCTTATAAACTTTTACTAGTCAATAACAACATCTGTAAGTTTGAAAGAAGGTAAGAGATGTTAATAAATTCCTTTATTTGTATTAAAATGACACAAAGCGCTCTTTTTTTTTTTTTTTTTTAAGATGTTTTACTCTCCTTCCTTAACTTTAATTTTCAGTCTTTGCTTTTAGTTGTTTGTAATTTTGACACGTTATTACAGTTTTCAAAATATATTCCTTCATTTCCTTGCAATTTTTACCTTCAGAATTTCTTGTTTTGCCCCCAAAAATAGAGACACATTTTCTCACTTTACGCAATTTGTGTGCAAAAGCAAAACAGTCTTCTCACGCAAACTTTTTTCTTAAATATTTTACTGAAGTGTGATAGCTTTTATCATATAATGATGTTGATAATTATGAAACTTTTTCTTTTTGTTTATGATATTCACATTTTCAAGAAGATAAGATCATAAATTTCTTAATTTTTATAAGAACTTATTTCCTTTTTTGTTTCCTTTTTTAAAAAAGCTTATTCCTTCACAGCCATGGACAAGAGAGTGAGAAATTTATCTCTGAGAGAAAAATTTGATGTTGTCAAAATGATAACCGAAGAGAAAAAGACCGTCAAGGAAGCTGTAATTAAGTTCAAGTGCGGCAAAACACAAATTTACTCAATTATGAAAGAAAAGGATAAAATAATTGAAAAATACATGAGCAGCACCAACATAAATGTCAAAAAAGGAAGGGATGGAAATTATGCAGAAATCAACAAAACTGTTTTTGAGTGGTTTCTTCAAGCCTCTGCCAAAAATGTTCCCATTTCAGGACCTATCCTTCAAGCAAAGGCAAAGGAAACAGCAAAACTTTTAAAAGTTGATGGATTCTCAGCATCTAATGGGTGGCTTCAAAGCTTCAAAAAAAACCATGGAATCACTTGCAGTGTTGCTTGTGAGGAGTCAAGTGAGGTTGACAAAGATGTTATTCAAAACTGGTTCACAAAATTAAAAGACATCATAAGGGGATATGATCCTAAAGACATTGCAAATGCCGATGAGACTGCTCTGTTTTACAGGGCACTGCCTAATAGGACACTGAAAATGAAGGGGGAGAAATGCTCACGGGGTCGGTTTTCGAAAGAGCGGCTTACTGTCCTCCTGACCACATTTGCAGATGGAACATTTGAGAAACCTTGGGTAATTGGAAAGAGTGAGAAACCACAGTGCTTCAAGAATATCAAAAGTAATCAGCTGTCAGTTGAATGGAAATGGAATAAAAATGCTTGGATGACAGGAGGAATTTATGAAAAGTTCTTAAATAAACTTAACAATAACATGATAAAACAAAATCGAAGCATTCTGTTGTTTATTGACAATGCAACTTGTCATCGGTCACTGCCCCTGTCCAATATTAAGTTAATTTTTTTCCCATCATCTATGACATCAGTCTTACAACCTCTGGATAATGGCATTATCCAAAATATTAAAGTAAACTACAGGAAGCTATTGCTTCAAAAAGTTATTGCCAATATTGAAATGCACAAGGTGGCATCAGAGATTTCAGGGAAAATTGATGTCCTTGATGCAATTTCATTTCTTAAGCAATCAATCAGGATGATTAAAGAAGAAACCGTAAGAAAATGCTTTAAGAACTGTGGTTTCTTATTCGACAGTGGCGATAGTATACAAAATGAAACCGTTATTGAGCCCGATAGCATCATGCAGATTCAGGATGCAATAAATGACATTTATAGTGGTGTTTCCGAAAACAGAGTCAGTGCTGCATCTTACATTGATATTGACAAAGAAATTGCCACAGAAATGGACAATATAAACTTGCAAGAAATTGTAGACTTGCAGTCTAAAGATGATGATGATGAAGATGATGAAGACTTACCATTAGAAGAACCTGAGCCTTTAAGTCAAACACAAGTTTTCAGTTACATAAAGGCTTTGAAGGAATTTGGAAAAGTTAAAGGAAACCAAGAGTTTTTTGATAAGGCTAAAGACTTAGAAGTTTGTTTCAATAATTTCATCAAAAAAACCCTACAAACAAAACCATGATGTTTGATATTTTTATTAAAAAGTAAATTTTTGTTTGACTAATAAATTTACATATCTGTACATTAATTTGAATAAACAAGCAAATAATAAAAACGGTGTAATTTCTTTTCCAGCCCTAAAAGTAGAAAAGGTTGGATTCTTAGTATTGATTTAAAAAAAAAAAAAAAAAAGGGCAGAAAACTTGGAAAATCAAGTTATTTCTGGTGCGTTCTAGCTTTTACATGTTAAATTATACTATTTTAAACTCTTACTCTGTATATATAAGGAGCCTTGGTGGTGCTATAGGATAAGCACTGGATTGCTAACCACAAGGCTGACAGGCAGACTCAGAAACTTTATATAGGGTCACTATGAGTTGGAGTCCTGGTGTGGCTAACCCTAAGGTCATTGTTTCAAACCCACCAGCTGCTCTGCAGGTAACTATGAGTTGGAACCGACTTGATAGCAACTAACAACATGAGTTGGAGCCAGCTCGAACATAGCATCAGTAGTAGCAGCAGCAGCATATAAGACCTATAAAGGAGCTCTGTTGGTGCTT